GCGTCCTAACCGCTATACCACCGACGCGTCTGTCACTAATACAGAAGTGAAATTCAGACACAATGAAAATCACTCAGTTATTCCTATGCATTTAAATGTATACAACCATACATTAGAGTGGAGCAGGATAAAATATTAGGAAGTATTATAGTTCCGTGGAGAGAGAGTAAGAGAGACATTAATCACAGAATCTCAGTCCACTGAATCAATTGCCCACACATGTGTAATAGGAATAAGGCAAAACTATTATTAATCTACTGGGAAGAATGAAAAGAAAAGTATGTTAAGTAAGTTAGGAAGTTGCGTGGATACATCGATATGATTTAGAGTAATCAATTGTGGTTGAAACAACGATTCAGTTATTAACAAATCCTGACTGATAGAATTCAGTCTGCACAAAAGAAAGGACTAGACGCATAACACTAGTTACTATTCTCCAATCAAAGTAGTTATTGCCAGTTTATCACTATGTGCTGTTATCACATAAACTTATTTGTAACCCTCCGACAGATTCTAGGACATAGGCATTCTTACCGGCGTCCAACAATCATTATATTTCTTGACCTAAAGGCGGCATTCGATTCTGTCGACTGAGAGGTTCTCTGGCAATGCTTGACTGTAAAAGGGAATGCCGAGAAAATACATTGCACTGATTAAGTCACTCTACTCGTACTCATGCAGTCAGGTGAGGGCTTATGGCAAGTTGTCATCTGAAGTGGTGACGACTAGTGGCATCTGTCAAGGACGTCCATTATCCCCATTTCTATTCAACTTCTAGATTAGAAATAGGAAGTGAAGTGGTAGAGCACGTTGATCGCTTCACTTATTTGGGAAGTACCATCAGCTCCAACGGGTTGATCTCTGATGAAATCTCACCACGGAAACAGAGGGCTAGTTTCGCATATGCCAGTTTACGCCGTCTCTGGCGTAGCCGTGATATCCCACTATCGACCAAAGGGCGTGTTTACTGCTGAACAGTCCGCTCCGTCCTCCTTTAAGGCTGTGAGACCTGACCACTGAGAATGGAAGACATGAAAAGACTGGCTAGCTGTCTTTGATCATAGGTGTCTGCGTTCTATATCCCGTGTGAAGTGGTATAATAAGGTGAGCAATATTGAGGTTAGGCATCGGTCGAGTGCTAGGTAAGGTGGGAGGGGAAATCAATTGACGAGACTGTGAAATTACATTGACTGAGATGGTTAGAACATGTGTTACGTATGCCTAGTCATCGCCTTCTTCGACAAAAGACAATGTTAGCTTATATAGGGTCAGGTTGGAAAAGAGCCAGTGGCGGTCAAACGAAAACATGGCACCAGTCAATGAAATCCATAACAGTTAGTTTAAGCCAGCCACGTAGGAAGGTGTAGACTTCCTGGTTGGGATCCTCGGGACGGTAAAAACCAATGATGACTTGAGACGATTGGTGACATGGCTCAAAATCGTTCTCAATGGCAGGCGCAGATGCATCCACTCCTTGTGACTTAAAATATCCAATGAAACTATATTGCTCTTCATTATTACTATTCCTTTTGTCTCATACTCCTGTTTACTGTCTATATTATGCATTCGTCTACTTTCTTCTCTTGCTTTGTGTGCTACATGGAGTGTGGCGACTTGAACTGCAGCACATATGTGCAAAGTTCTATGTTGAAAACATACAGACAGACAGCTATTTTGAAAATCCCTCCTGAACTATCTAATTATAAAAGTGGTACTTCTTTGGATGTTTCAACTAACTTTATAATTATTTTCCTCTTTTCTCCTAGATTGTATATCCTTGTTCTGACATCTTCATATAATCTGTAAACTTAATCCTTATTATTTGTTTTCGTCCCTGTTTAATCTCTAGTGTTAATGCTTCTCTTCGTGTCAGTGTAATGGTGATATTGATAATGTGTTGTTTTACGACTGCTATTTTATTTGAATGAGTCAAGGTTATTCTGACTGCAGAAGTTCTTCGGTGTGTGAATCTTGGTGACATAGTGTTGATCCCACAATACTGGAAATATACTACTTGATTATGAGGTACTTCATACGACTAATCTAATTAAACAATTGTGTTGCATAGTACTTGCTTGGTGTGTGATCCATGTAGCTGACTAACAGCGTTGTTGAGGTGGTTTTGTGATTTGATATATTATGACTGTTAAAAAAGTACTGCAGATTTTATTTCGGAAATAGGTGTCTTTTTACTAACTTCGGGATATTTTTGTACCGCTCGTATCTCAAGGAAGTTCTGGTCCACTACATAGTAGAACACAATGATTGGCCTCCTGATTTCAGACTACAACAGGTTGGTTTTAGGTCATTACAGCGCTCAACATACCTAGATAATATGCTAAATAAACACTCAAAATAATGATCGTGGAATCTGTTGTGGACAATGGGAAATTAGCGATATGGAATATACCTACAGGAACACGGCAAGTACCCTGATCATGTAAAGGTTAGCTCTAGGATAGGTAGCCTTAGGTGTAAACCGAAAATAGAATTAGGATTAAGTGAGCTTCAGGTGAGAAAAGAAGCAGAAATGAGGTGTTTTCATGAACAGCTGGGCTTTTTAAGCCTGCTCGATGATGATGGGAAAATGAATGACCCTGTCTCTTAGACATCGTTGTCTTTTTGATGTCTGTGTGTAACTAAAGGAAGTTCTGGTTTGTTATACAGTAGAACGCAAAGTTTGGTTTCCTGAGATCAGACCACGACTCGTCGGTTTAGGTCGTTACAATTATCTGGTACGGAAATATATCTAGCTTCCTTTTTACTGTTGATGTAAGCTTGGAGTAACATGTTTCAACACGTTACTAAGAAAGATGTTATACGTTTTTCAATGCCTATTAGACGGCATAGATACACAGCATAGATATATTGGTTACAGGATTTCATCGTGAGCTAACACTGGTTAGAGAACCACTGGAAAGCTTGGTAGTACTGGACAGCTGTTTCGTTAGCCTGGCTTAGGATTCTTCAGTAGTACTCACCCACAGGGGTCCGAACCCAGGAACTTCTGGTTACAACGCGAGCTCGTATACCATTAAGCCACTGGGAACCGATCCAATGGCCCATGAATTCTAAATTCTGCCAGTTCACGATAAAGCGCAACCGCTAGCTAATGTCTTCGACGAGTATTTTTCCTCACAACTGACCTGCTGCACCCTACTACTGGTCACGACTTCCCACTGGAACCCCAGGTAACTACCTACCTGAATAGGGCCAGTCGCCAGCGAGCATCTCATTGATATTCAAGAATTGGTTTGTAGGGATTTGGTTGATTGGTTACAGGATTTCATCATGAGCTGACATTGGTTAGAGAACCATTGGAAAACCTGGGAGTACTGGACAGCTGTTTCATCCAGTACTCCCAGGTTTTCCAATGGTTCTCTAACCAATGTCAGCTCATGATGAAATCCTGTAACCAATCAACCAAATCCCTACAAACCAATGCCTAGATGTATTGTTTGCTGGCTAAAGTCGTTATATTGATATACAGTCATCCGGTTAGTCAGTCTGTTTGTCAGATAGACAGGCCCAAAGATAGACGGACGGACAGACAACATCACTATTATTAGTTGGCACATCGGCTATTTCCCACAGTGAAAGAGTACCTATTTACAGAAAAATTTATGAAATAATTTATTATTTCTAATCATGTCAAATGTAACTAACTTTACAACCCTGATATTTAAATTTTCTAGTTATTATTCTTCTGCATAAATTGTCTTGGGGGTGGTAAAGTATTGCTTGGATTCAGCCTACGCTACAAAACTTAGACCAACAGTCAGTGATTTCATCCACTGGTACTACTTCAGTGTATAGCGAAGCTTCAATTTTTCTTATATAACTATAATTCCATTAACACAGCATAAATAAGGTACCGGGCAGTTGTTTTGTCAGTCGCATTGTGTAATAGAACTTTACGATTCACTCCCTAAAGTAGGCTAGCCAAAAACCATAAGCTTAATGTCTAGATTGCTCATCTTCTTGCTAACTGATGCACCAGTAATACTACCATGACGAAAAGAATTCATAAACATTTGAATTCACTGCACATGTTATGTCTTTGACATAAGTTGTACAATTTTTGGTCAAACTGAACAGTCACTTATTTCAAATTAATGCTGTGCTGACCAACGACAGCAAAAAGCACCAATCACCATCAACAGAAGAAATTTCACTTGCTTTCACATGCGGCTGCGCGGATTAGGATGTAAAGGCAGCCAAAATAAGTAAACCATGATAGGCTTTCATCACTCTAAAATCAGCGTGTGGACAAACAGCACTCAGAATAAAGAACAAGATCCAAATTTTTAACACTTATGTCAGTTCAGTCTCTTTTTCTATATTTGTTTTCAATTTTTACCTTATTCCTTTATGTCCCAAGTGAAACATAGGGATTCAAGCTGGAGCTTTGAATTTTCCGTACCAGTTGTGCTAATATTGTTTTATTTGCCCGACCTTCCCTCTTTACCAGTCTTATTACTGGCTTAGCGAGGTAAAGGAGTTTTCCCCCGGGGTTTGAACCCCGAACCACATGCCTCTATATGGTCCGGAGAATTGTCATGTGAATTTCCAACAGGCTACTGCAAGCCTTCCTCAATAACTACCTTCTATGGTTCCAAAATGACGATGAGATGGTTAATCTGGAAGGAAAACCAAGAAATAACTCTGGCAAATGGCGAAACAGTCAGAATCTATTGCTCAAAAACTATGCAGTAGGAAATGAAGATACATTGAACATATCCTAAGGATATCGTTGAGTGACGTCACACGTCAGGCCCTCGAGTAGTACCCGAATACAAAACGACAAGTTTGGAGTCAGGGTGTGACACAGAGGAGGTCATGTGAAGAAGAAATGACCCATTAAGGAGGACTGCAGAAAACAGGGAAATATGGAAATATACTTCTGAACTCCCTCCGTGTTCCATTTGGAACCCAATGGAATAATAATAATTTAATTGTAAATCATCAGGAAGGTTTCTTTTTATAAAAAATATCCTTACTTACTTTTGTTGCATTTTAAGCAAATATCTACTCTCCAGTAATTTTAAACATTCTGGGATAATTTTATCTTCATACGGTGATTTATTTTCAATATAATCAACAGAAAATTGATTACCGTGAAGATTATTCTTTAAGCTTTGCGTATTATTTGGTTGTAAGCGTAAAAGTGTTAAATTACTTGCACATCTATTCAACCATTTCGGTGAATAAGCTGTTACTCGAAGTATAGGCTCTTGTACTGATAACAATGACAGGTTATCTGATTCAATATTAAATAAATTATCAGTGTCTATTTTTAGTCTTGAATCATTATCCCGGTCTTTTGAATTAATCAGTGATTCATTTAAACAATTTGTTGTTGTATTCAATGTTGTATGCATTGTTTGCAGTTCTGATTTTATTAAATTTTCTTTATTTATAGGCGTAGGCGTGAATGTATCATTCACTGACATTGTACTTATTGAATCACCTGCTATATGTTTAAAACTTTTTGATTTTCTTAAACATTGTAATGTTCCACAGTCTTTATAATCTCCTGTTTTCATGTCATTCATATCTGGGTGGGATATAGGAGGAGGAGGAGGCGGAGAAGATGTTTGCAGATGACAGAACAATGGACGATCAATTTTCTGTGTAGGATTTATAAATAGAAATGATTTTGACTTGTATTTTCCTCTTGATGATGTAATAGTCGTCTCCATATTTGTAGTTAATTCATTACTTAGGTCTCTTGAAGTTGTGATAGATGAATGCTTTTCATTTGTATCATAATATGAATGCAAGTAATCCTTGTGTAATAATATATCTGTACTAGTGAGTTCATCACTTGGTATAATATTGTTTACAGATTCTCTTCTGGCATAATCCTCTGTATTCATCCTACGATAATCACTTGTTACTCCGATAAAGTTACCAATCGATGAAGAATCAATATTATTAGCACAGGTTAAAGGTGTTCTCTTGGGTTCAGTGTATAATAATTTGTCGATAGATCCATCCCATTGGTCATTTTCAATGATATTATCAGCGCCACTGGATTCCTTAGAGCTTTCAATGCCCTTATCGATTTCGGTTATGTTGGGCAGGCCTAGTAGACTACTAGATTGTATATTCAGTGATGAAAGATTGCCTCCTTTTTTTGCTAGATCCACAATACTTGACATGGAAGATTGAAGATCACCATCAGTTGGACTTATTTGTCTATATAACGAGTGTGATTTACGAAGATGTTTGTTCATATAAGTAGTACCTTCTATCAGGATTTCGTCTTTTGATTCCATGTCATGTCTTTCCTTTACTTTCATTCTATCAATCCCATTGTAATCATAGTTCTCATATTTATTTATTCTATTAGTTTCGTTATATTCTGAATGAGAATTCCTGGTTAAATTATTTATGTTTGCTGATTTTTCTTCCTCAGCCACGTTTACTCTTTCAAGTTCTTCAACATCTTCATCAGGATATATAATTTCAATCACTTCAGGACCATTTTGATGTATACGACATTTATATGGTTTCCATCTATGCGAAAATTGCTGTCCCATTTTTATTGTGGTTAAAATATCGTTATCTTATCAATCACCAGTGCTGATAATACATTTTTCTAGATGACTTTTTTTATTATCGCTATAATTTTCTTTTTCCTTCACATTAGATTAACCTTGAAATGTATTGATTACGCAGTCATGTGACTACAATTTATTCAGTAGTGGGTAGCTTGGCGAATTATGTAATCGAAATGTGTAAATTTATGCGTAATTATTTTCTATCTTATTCACTAGTAGCTTATTGAGTCATTCATTAATACAGCCTACATGTTATTTAAATGTATTTGTGGAAGAAATGACTTTACGTAGGTAAGGTCATTTCGGAAGATAATGAATGTTGTGGGATTAAAATCGACGTTTGTTTTAAGTTTAACCAGGGATTAATATCAGTTAGTGAACCACTGAGAACATGAGGATAATGGACAGCTGTTTCACCATAGTTTGGAACTCTTCACCAGTACGCACCCCTTGGAGTTCAAACTCAGGCAGTTGCGGTCATATGGAAGGCTCGTAGTCCACCCAGCCATTGTAACACCGTCCATTGGCCCATCATTTCTATTTTCTACTGAATAAATATTTTAGTACGAATGTTATCGGCGAGTATGTGTCCCAACTCCCATCTTGGTTGCTCCCACTGGTCACGATTTCTCACTGAAACTTCGCCCAGTATCCAGTCACTAGCGAGCTTCTGATTAATTTTCAAATAGGGCTTACAATTAGGCAGGTTCATCATCGTATTTCTGAATATCGTCCAGCATGGTTAAGCAAGGGACAAACAAGATTTATTCGTAGCCCTATTTTAGCACACCATGTAGACACCTAGTAAGCATAAGGTTGACGTCAATACAACATTTAAAATTATTTATCTCATTCCTAATAATCTTAATTTTGCTTTACGAGTTCGTCTTTTACATACAGCTAAAGCAAGATGAATCCACCTGAAGAAGCCAAACCTTTGTGTTAAGAAGAAATTTATACAGCCACTTTCCTTACCTTGGCCATCGTTACATGGATGTATAAACCGGACCACTTCGTGCCCCTCCCACTAAATCTTTAAAAATTATATAAATTTTGATTGTCCGAATGATTTTAGTATTTTTATGACTACTTCATCTTTAATTACATGTTTGTTAACTTTGTAAAATTATTTTGTTCTTATGACCACTTCAATCTTAGTTACAAGTTATCATTGTCCGAATCGTTTTCTTTTCTTTAACAATCTGTTACGTAATCAGCCTGTGCACACGCTTATTCCTTAACTCCTCTTCATTTTTCCAAAATTATGCATTACGCAATCCATGCATTGCAACCATTTCTACCTTTTAATTGTGTGTATTAATTTTCTTCGTTAATTATCACCCCATCGGCACATTGACACTGACTAATTATTGTTAACAAACACATCGCCACTTGAGTGGTAAATTGTTGTGTACTGTAATAAAAATGCTATATATATATGCATTAGAGTAGAGCCAGAGATGAGGATCTAATTGAAAAGTAAATATTTCTTCGCTCAATCCCTCTGCTTTCTGAATGCTATTTTGTAGGGATATGATTCATTTCGAGTTTGATCACGGATTGATGTAAGTCAGAGCACCATTGAAAGCCAAGGAATACTAATGGGTGCGTGCTGTTGAAGAATCCCAAACTAGGATAGAATAGCTGTCCAGACCTTCCTAGTTTCCAGTCGTTCGCCATCTGAAATCAATCCGTAATGAAACATTAGGCCAGTCGAATCCCAAGGAAACTTAATCTTAAAAATAATGTGTGAGGACAAAACTAATCGTCAGGTGTTTTCGCGCACAGCATACCACAAGTCATAACATATATTCCAACTGTGTAAAAGAAGATGATGAAGTACCCATGAAATAGCTAAACGTAATATTTGATGTGGTCACAGCATTCGATGGAGCAGATAATTCAGAACCACTTTAAACCAAATGCTTGAGGAAATTCAAATTGTAATTCACCGCCACTGTTGCACCCATTCAAGTAGGAGAAGACAAAAAGGAGGTAAATTTAATTTAACAAGATACTCTATATATTTTGTAAAACAAATTAATTAATGACATGTGTTACATATCACTCAAGTGAAAACGAAAAGAAAGATTTCATACAACCATGAAGTAATCAGTAGATAATACTTTGTGATTGTGTGTTACATCAAAATAAACAAAAAGATTTGTTTTATATTTTCAGGTCAATCTGAACTTCCCGTTAGTTGATCTAATATGAGAGCGAAATGCTTGTTGTCTGTCTACATACCTGCATCTCATATGGACGTCTCAATGATGTCTTTTGATTAAAATGATACAATTTGGTTGGTGGTGGCTAGTAGTGAAATTCAAGGTGAACGTTCCATCTTATGAGGGACTCGTCAGCTGGATTTACTATACACTCAGTAAGTGTTGGTGTTTCCGTAGAGACGTGAAACCAGCATAAATTATTTCAAATGGTAAAGTGGTGGCTGTCTTCTTTCAAAGGACCAGTAGATAATCATTTGGCGTTTGAAATGATTGGTGCATGGTTTGAGTCTTGATGAGGACATCACCACTCCGTGGGTATGCACGTAGAACCAGCTGACTAATTCTAAATAGGCTTAAACGTACATCTTGGATTCTACTGACGGCCACTGCGTTCGTGGTTTAGCGGTTCAACCACGCCTGTAGTCCGAAGTTTGATCCTCAGCCAACGTACTCCTAAGCTCGTAGTAGGGCCGGTAAAGAGGGAAGGCTGGGAGTGAGGCTAGCAACCACACTCTGTAGAAGTAGAAAAAACACAGTGCTACCGAAACCCCAAAGGTCTAGCCTGAAGCCCTATTTTTCACCAGGAACATTAAGGAATAAAATTAAAAACCTCTTCAAGTTTACTAACTCACAAGTTTTTGACTCGGCTTCGAGTGCGGGTAAAGAGGGAGAGTTGTGCGTGAAGCTAGGGACCCTACCCCACAAAACCAATCAGACTGCTACAGAAACTTCAACGCACAATAAAAATATTGAAATTCAGAAGATGTAGAAAAAGATAAACTTGTTCCTGGTTGGAATCGGAAAGGCGAAATGACGCCATGGGCTGGTGAAAGCCTTTGGGATGCCAGCCAGTCGCTGTGTCTTCTTTCGATCAAAACAAGAATAAAAATGGAACGGCCACTATCAGCCAAACAAAATTATTATGGGATTCTACTGAATACACTGCTCCGAAAGACCTGTTGTATTTTATAGTCAGGAATATTGATGGGACATAAGAACTCGAACCATGCTATTGCTCATTATTGTTGTGACTGTTCGTCCTTTATTGCACTGAATATTTTTCTAGTTTCAGAAGGGAAGATTCTCAAGGTAGTGTCGAAACATTTATCTGTTTTAAACGAAATTTATGCAGATAAGTAGTGCAAAGTCCGTTTCTTTATTTTCTATACCATTATGTGTTCTTTTATGACGTCTTACGACTTGAACCTCTGCACTTTCATATAAAGTTCTGTGTTGAAAATTAAGTTTTTAGTCAGTCGGTCAGTTAGTCAGCCACTAATCTTCAAAATGTGTGCCGCTTAAGTTTATATCAAGATGATTAGTATAATTTAATCAGTTCAATACTTCTCTGACTGACTACTTTATAATATACATTTGCAGACCAATGATTTTGCCTTCCAGTGCTTTGCGACTAAATGCAACGTAAGGTAGCGATGTAACAATAATTTCTATGCACGCATCACTTCATGTTTAAGATTAAAGTTATCATTATTTGGCCATTAATTTACCCAAAGAATTTATTCTTACTGGGAAGCAGTCATGATCTGAATATCTTAATGTTTATTGTTTTGGAGGTTGACATTGGGCAATTCGGGCTCGAATTTAAGAAAAAACATCAATTTTCAAATAATAGTATTTTGGAGCGATTTCTTTCGATTGGTTAGAGGATTTCATCATGAGCTGACATCATTTAGAGAACCATTGGAAAACCAGCTATAAGTACTGAACAGCTGTTTTGTCAGCCTAGTTTGGGACTCTTTAGAAGTACGTACCCATCGACAGGGTTCGAACCCAGGACCTTCTGGTTACAAGGCAAGCTCGCAGGCCATTAAGCCACTAGGACCTGATTCAATAGCCTATGTATTCTAAATTCTCCCAATCCCAGGCATTTAACATGGGGTTCTAGTGTCAATCCATGACTTTTAGGATGCAGCAGGTTGAAGGTGATGAGACAGTAACTCATCGAAGAAGACATTGTGAAGTGGTCGCGCTATGTCATGAATTGGCAGAAGTTAGAATTCATGGGCTGACCATTGGATCGGGCCCCAGTGGCTTTATCGTGTACGAGTTCTCCTTGTAACCAGCATGTCCTGGGTTCGAACTCTGGTGGTAGGTGCGTACTACTGAAGAATCCCAAGCTAGAATGATTAAACAGCTGTCCAGTACTCCCCGTTGATTTTCCAATAGTTCTGTAACTGATGTCAGCTCATGATGAAATCCTCCAACCAATCAAAACATTAACTAATCGCAAAATTACTCATGGGATTTGCTTATGAGCACATGTGTGCGTTAGTCCAATCACTCGCTTTAGTTGCGGCCCAGTGTTCAGTGATAATACCGTTTACTGTTAAGTGTGAGGTGAGGACAGGTGGCCATTTAATGAAGTCGTGATGCTCTATCGACTGAGGTGGCTAGGACATGTGCTATGCATATCATGTCATTACCTTCCACAACGGCCAATGTCAGCTTCTACAGGATTGAGATGGTAGAGAATTAAGGATGGTCTGGCGGAAGTATGTCACCAGTTAGTGAAGTCATTGAATATCTGAGACACAAAGGTAGGTTTGACTGACTGGTTAAGGTTCTTGGCTGCAGACTGCTGGTGACATGTCTCGAAGCTCTTTGGAATTACATAGATGCGACCACTTTTTCCCCATGCAAATACTGAAATTCCTCACTAATTTTCAATTAATTATTCTCCCTATTACTTTTTTGTGGTTTTATGACATTTTCCTTACTTTCATAAGTGCC